GGGTTTTATAGGCTTCTAGAAAGTTCTGTAGCAAAAGCTAGAGCCTGCTCAAGTATACTTCGAATGGGTTAATTATTTCTTTCCTGATATGTAGGCATGATTTGCTAACCATGTGATACCATTTGATTATGAAAGCAATTTTTGTAGATAAAAGCAAGTGTTGAATGACTGTAAATGTACTTATAGAAACTTTAATACATTTTAGACTGTGTGTATAGATTTGCTGCATGGATAAGTGAGGTCAATGAGAAAAACACAGTGTTTGTTCAGTTCTGTAGCCACTTCGATTACAATTCATTAGAAGTCATAAATCACCCCCAAATCCTATCAGAGAGTAAATGGGACCCGGGGCTTTTGGCTTTTACTCTTTTATACAACTATAAATGTAGCTGAGACCCAAGTTCAAAGTGTGCATAGGAGTGTGCCCGTCAGTCTGCTTTCCTCCCCCTCAGATTCTGCAAACAACTGCACTCCGTAATCCAAATAAAACCTCTTGAGTGTCACAAAGGTGCACAGCTGGCAGCTATCCATTATCACCGTGTTCTTTGCTTAGATGAAAAGGCAGTTAGGTTCACATGTCGAATTTTAGAGACACAGACACAGACACAGCCCTAGACACAGATGAACAAAGGTGTGGAGAATAAGTGGGCCACACTGACAGATAGTACAGCCAGCACGCTTCCGCAGGGGAGCAGATGATGGGAGATGGTGGTTGCTTCTCAAACACTGTTTACCTTGGTAGGCTCCTTTGACTTCTCAGAGACCTTTGTAATTCCTCCCTTTGATTTAGCTTATTCTATCAGATGTTTAGGGGCTGAGGCAAAGGCTCAGTTGGTAAAGGGATTGCCTTACAAGCATTCTGACCTGCATTTGATCCCCAGAACCTGCATAAGCATACTTACAATCCCAGTGCTGGGACAGTGGAAGCAGACATATTCCTGATCAGCCTGGCTAGTCTCCTGGAGTAGTGGGCCAGTGAGAGCCTGTCTAAGAGAAGAAAAAAAAAGTGGTAGATTGTGTCTGAGGCTTGACACTTGAGGTTGTTCTCTGGCATTCACACGCCAGAATATACCCACGTGAACTTACACACATACACAGACAGGGAGGGGAGTGCACTTTTAAAAACTGCCAATTGCCAAATCAGTGCTTAAACAATGAACTTCACGAAAACATTTAAATGGAGCACAAATGCTCCATTCAAAATGCCATTTCACTAACAAAACATTTTCTTCCCTGTCCTCTCCCCTCTTTGTCATCAGATAGAATCTTGAAAAGGATCATAACTTATTTGTACACAGTAGGGGGCAAGGACCTTGGACAGATGTTTAATATGCTTTCGCTAAATAGACTGACTTGCACCACATGTGGCTGAGGAGTTGTATGATGGTCGTGCGCATCCTTTCCCCCTAAAAGATAAAAGCACTCAACACTGGTGGGTGACGCGACCATGCGGCTGCATACTGTTTAGGGAACACATGACAACTGATACCGTCAAAGTGAAACATTAAACATTTAAGAGCAGGGACAGGAGCTGGCATGGCGGTGATGATGTGTAGACGTACGGGGCACATGGAGCAGATGTGCCTTCAGCAGGTCTGCAGAGATCACACAGGACACTTAGGAAAAGCCCTGCCACCATCTGCCAGGACCCGGTGCAGTGCATACACTGTGTCGTGAGTGTATGCATGAAGGCTATTCCTGGATTCTCCCCAGCTTCAGGGTTAATTATTCTGGAACATGGAGTGGTAGATATCTAATTATGAGAAAGGATCTGTGTGAGACACCAGTAAGTGTATTCTGTTCTGTAAGTGCCCTCCAGTTTTATTCATTCAGCTAGCCATTGTTCAAAAGGTTTATCTGTGAGTCCACTGCCTGTGTGTGTGTGTGTGTGTCACTGTTTACTGGGTGCAAGGGCTGAGGAGGGGCTTCCCCTTTTCTTGAGAATTCCTGAGGAATATCTAGTGGTATGAAGAAATGACTCAGAGAACCCAGATCCAGGAGGGTGACCTGCTGTGAGTCATTGTACTAGTCTGCTTTTGGGAATCCTACACATGTCCCACACAAATACACACACACCACAAGTATCACATGCATATGTACACCATATATAGTATGCATACGTGCCCCCACAAACATGCTTCATTCATATAAAACACATATATATTGTACACACACACCATATACAGCACAAAGTTCATATCATACACAAATAGACACACATACCCACACATGTATAGGTGATACAGATATAGCTGTCTATGATATACACACAAACATCACCCATCTACACCACAAACACCACACACAAACATGTATTATAAATACATACCAAACATGTCATACCCATATGTCATACACATACATATATGCTGCACAAGCATATATCATTTATATGTGGTACACAAACACACACAAACACACACACACACACACACACACACACACACACACACACACCATATACATAAAGAGGACTTGAGCCATCTCAGTTCAACGTGTAGTATAAGCATTTCTTTCTATTTTTGTTTGTCATTGGAGAGAAACTTGGAACTAAAAGCAAGTGTGTGGTGTGCACCAGGGCCTGAATGGTGTTCAGCCATGCTACCATCTGCAGCATGCAAGCTCTTATTCCAGGACCAGAGAGCTGTGCTGGAGCTTATCTCCCCGTATCCACTTCAAAGCGTGCTTTACAGTAATGACTGCTCGTTTAATTGGGCAGGGCGATTTCATGGCTAAGTAATTACCTGTAGTTAAGCTAATCAGTCTCATTTTCTATATCAGTGCTAGTGCTGACTTGAGATACTGCACCCCTCTGATTATCTAGGCACACACATTATGTAAAGTAGGGAAAGCTGCAAAATGAGTTTTGAGAAAAGGATCCTTCAAAAAACCCTCCGCTCAGTGACAATATTGCTAATGTGTTGATATTGCATTTATTTACTTTTTAAAATTACATTGTAAGTATTAAGGATACGTCTCAGGAGACTGGTCTGACCAAAAATTAGTTCAGTCCCAAGTGTGCTTGAAAAGTATTGTTTTCTGGTGAATTTTGCATTGTCTTATCTTTAAAAAAATAGTTTAGAGGATTCTACTTCCCAGTCAGTCTACATAATAAACCTGTCTAGATAATTTAGTTCTTTAAATGTTATTGAGAACTCAAGGATTTGGACCCATATACCTTCCACAATTCAACAGTAGACTTTGCATAAGAACCAAACACATGGTTGTTATTTAGCCCTTTGTTGAGTAAATGAATGTTGTCTCTCAGAAGGTGAACACTGCCTCCTTCCCTTCCCATCTCTTCATAGGTCTTCTTTGGTTTCTCAGTAGCCTGGCTTTCTCCTGAGAGCACCATGGATCTAGGAAGGAAGGTGTGTGTGTGTGTGTGTGTGTGTGTGTGTGTGTGTGTGTAGAAGTCCCACCTTCATCCTTTTGAAAACTCTGCTGGGTA